TTCAATGGGTGTGATGCGGTAGCTGACGCCGAGTTGGCACGGAGGTCTAGTTGAACTGTGGGTCTGTAGGGGTGTATAAGCAGGGCACATGGTGGGGCGGCAGCTGCATAGGGTCGGTGGGGTAAGAAGAACCAAGAGTTGTGGTACCGTGTGGGACGACCTCGGGGGATGGATAAGTGTCGTGGTGTCTATCCAGAAGGGGGCGGAGGGAGTGAGTGGGAGCTCTGTGCGTTTGAGAGAAGAGAGGGTGTGTGGGAGATGGGGGGTGTGGGAAAGAGGGGAGAAAGAGCCGGGGAAGGGGAAGGGGTGGAGGCGCACGGTAGGTGAGAAGAGTGCAAGGACAGATGGGGAAAGGCAGCATGCCAGCAGAGATCGCAAAAAGATTCAACGCCATGCACGCACAAGCCATAAATGCTAATCAAGGTGGTCAGTTGAAACATTCACACCCAGCTCCAGTAGACAAAAGTCCTTTGTCCCACCCTGGTCATTCCACAGATATATAAACCCATTTTTCCTAGTTCCAACAGACCTCACCACCTCTGAGGATGCTTGCCATAGATGTAGGTGAAACGTCAGGAGAAAATGCCACTAGAACATGGCCATATAGCCCGGAAAAACCTACAACAACCCAGTGATTCTGGCCATGAAAGTCTTCGACAATACAGTAAACCAGGTATTTTTTTACCTGAAATTTTTTGGGGGGATTGAACCACCCCCCCCTCCCCGTCTACAGGCCTGGCTTATACCATTTGTCTCAAGCAAAGGAGTCCCTCTTCTTGAATCAGGAAGTTTCTTCAAGCTTGACAGTCTTTGGAAACTTCTGGGGTCCATAAAATAGGCCATGGCTGGTTCACTGCCTACAGTGACAGAGAGATGATATTTTGTGTCACTTAATCCCTTTCAACCCTGAAAGAAAGGTGAATGCAGTAAAACATTCCACTCCCTCAGTTCCAGGTATTCAAACATCCTCCTTTTATCATTTTGCTGAAATAGTTGCATGCATTTGGGTGACACAGAAAGAGAGAGAGCGAAAGGAAGAGAGACTGAGAAAGAAAAAGCTCCCTGGGATCAGTTGTCTCAGCACTTTAAAACTGTGGAGGAGGTAATCTTCTTTGGGAGTATTATGGATTTCTGCTTTTGTGCAACATACATTGGATGTGAAGTACTTCCAGAAATGTGTGGGTGTGGTAAGACTGACAAATGTGCAGTGATTAGCAAGAAAGTGTGTATTTGTATAGGATGAAGACAGACAGGAAGTGAGGTTTAAGGAGAAAGACACTTGAGACAGGCCTGCATTATGAGTTGAGGGAGAATATCATATTTATTTGAACCTAATAAAATTCAAATGAACATCGAGCTCTGCTTATTTATTTTCTTTCCCCTCAAAGACAGTTTGAAAACATCTCTTTCTTCCTCCTCTTCCTCTTGAGGGTAAGACGGGATTTTTATATTTAAAACAAACTTAGAATCCAACAAACAGAAAACACCATTGTTTTTCATCACATAATAGTCGCACTCCCCCTTTTCCAACAAAAAGGGAGATAAAAGGTGCAACTGTTGTGCAATGAAATACGATAATTGCACATTCTTTACAAAAGACAGATTAAATACTGATAAGAGTTGTGCAATATGTGGCAAATTCGCTAGTTTGATTCAATAAACCATGATGCACTAGTAAACGAAGCAATTTCATCAAAGTGGGGAACTAATGCTAACTAGGACTTAAACATTGGGAAGAGTTTGGTTTATTGTTAAAAGTAAAAGGTTTGAAATGTGACACTTTATTTAGCATGGAAAGATCCAATCCCATTTTAGTACAAAAAATGCAGGTGAGCGTTCCAATACAGTTGATAAATTCCTATGGTGTGAACATAAGGCTTACACTGGAAACATGTAGCAGATTCATGTGTGGTCTATTTTTGTCACATAGATGTTAAGGGAGTGGAATCAGTGCTTTTATTTATAGATTGTGGTTGCAGACAGAAACCTGTTTTTCATGTTGGTCTCTTCCCCAGTGTCACTAAGGCAGTATATGTAAGGGAAATGTGAAAATATATATTTTATATATGTTCCCAGGTGTATTCAAAAGGAACTCTGCCATGTATCTCTAAGACCTATTTATAAGTAGCCATGCTATTGTTTTAAAAATCTGAAAAGCAACAGTAACATGATACTTCTAAATGGAAACAACTAAAATGTCAGCAAGGCAATAAAACACAAGTTTTTTGTTCTTTAGAACTCATTTTTAGACTGGGTGTATTCATGCTGGATAGGGTTGGAGAGAAGAAAAAATGTTTGAGAGCATGTTGGATGGAGAAGCTCCTAGTCAGAGGCGGCCCTAGGTAATTTTCAATGGTAAGCAAACAGTATTTTGGCTCCCCCCCCCCCCAACCAATTATTGATATATATTTTCTGTTCGTCGTGGGAGTACTGTGTGCCATATTTGGTTCAATTCCACCATTGGTGGAGTTCAGAATGTTCTTTGATTGTAGGTGAACTGTACATCCCAGTAACTACAACTCGCATATGTCAAGGTCTATTTTCCCCCAAGAGCACCTCAGGAGTGCCCCTGGGCACAGTCAACTATACTGCAAATGCTTACTTTGCGTAATAGGCTGCTGAGGCTTTCCCCGGACTGCTACGGCTGTTGTGAGCCGAGGGGGCGCTCCTCAAGTGGTGGTCGAGGGGCATTTACAGAGGCGCCTCTGCGCCCCTGGCAAAAAAAAGTGTACCGCGACCACTTACTTTGTGTAATGGATGAGCCGCCCCTGCTCCTAGTTCTCAGTTTTGTTTAGGAGACATTATGGGGAATTAATTAGTTGAATTCTGTTTGGTATAGAGATGGTAAGTCCTGTAAAAAAATTGGGGAAATTGGGGGGGGGGGGGCAATTTGTCCCCCTCCCCCCATCCTCACAGTTTTTCTCCAAAGCCATTTCCCCAGAAAAAAAATGAAAAAAATGTGTAGAAACTAAAAGCCTCGGAAATTTTTCATTAAGGTCTTCATGTTATATAGTTTGAATACCATGTCATAGAAATATTATTTAGCATAGGAAAAGAACATATTCTACAAACTTTTTAATTTTTCAAGAAAAAAAATGGCTTTAGGAAAATCCAGGAAAAACCTCCCCCCCCCCTTCCATTTTTCCCATGCCTTTCCAACTCTACTTAGACACAAAACAGCTTTCAGTATAGAGTGCTATTTGGAGGGATTAAGGGTGGTAATTCTCCTTTTAAAATGATCAGTAATTTGTATGTCTTCTTTGTACTTAAATGTTATTTATTTACTGTATTTATATCCTGCCCTTCTCAACCCTAAAGGGGACTCGGAGTGGCCTTACAATCAGCAATAATTCAATGCCATATCAACAAACACTTAATAAAATAAAAATGTACATTAAATCAAAAATTAAAAAGCAGTAAAACATTAAAACACATTATTATTATGTGAATTATGACCAGGAATGTTTTGACGATGTGGCTGTGTAAGTATGATGATGACGATGTTGTATTGTAATATGTTTTTAATTGTGTAATGATAATACATTGTGTGGTTTGTATTTTTGTATATGAACACATGTTGTGAACCGGATCTGAGTCCCTCTTGGAGGTGAGAAGATCGGTATAGAAAACTTTTAAATAAATAAATAATAATAAATTAAACTCACACAATCCGAAGACATAGTTGAAAGCCATTTAGGTCATTATTGCACATAAGTCCACTTCACTTATTGCACTGTACTATTTTCCAAAGATTTGGGCCAGAACCATGTTTTTACTTTCTTTCTGAAGGTCAGGAGGGAGGGTGCTGACCACTGAGAAGGCCCTGTCCCGTGTCCCCACCAACCACATGTTTGAAGGAGGTGAGACCGAGAGCAGGGCCTCTGAGATGGTTCATAGAGGGAGATGCGTTCGGACAGATAAGCTGTAAAGCAGAGGTCAGGAGAAAAATGCAATAGTCCTTCTATTAGCTGGGCAGCAGGCTACTTTATGGGGTGTTTTGGGAGCTAGTAAAAGCTACTTTGTCTGGGAATTTGGATATATAGCTTTTCCTGGATTGGATTGCACTCCCCTGAAGGAGCAGGTACATAGCTTGGGAGTATCCCTAGTTCCATCACTGTACTGGAGGCATAAGAGGACTCAGTGAGTTGGAATACTTGGCAGCAGGTTTGACTGATGCATTTTCCTGGTTAGCGATAACCTACCCACAGTAGTCAACGTGCTGTTGACCTCATAATTAGGCTAATGTAATGCACTTTTATGGATCTATCCTTGAAGAAGACTTAGAAGCTGCGGCTAGTGTAAAATGCAACCTCATTCTTCTTTTTTCACAACCTGTTTGCCTCTTTCCCTTATTCTAAATCAGATGGATCTCTCATATGCAAGAAACACAACCTTCCTCTAAACTCTTCAACCCAGCCAACCCTATGCCATTGCTTGTAGTAGTCAGCCTGGCAAGACAGCCTACTCTGCCACACTCAAGTTATCTCCTCTTTCTTTCAGCAATAGTTTATTTAATTTGGTTGGACTGAAGGAAAGTAGAGAGGACCGATACACTTTTTTTCTGTAATGTTCCAAACAATGCAAATATCTAGGTTTGTGTTTTCAATGCTGTCAATGTGTTTGTTCGTTTTTTTTACTTCAACTCACTTTCCATGTTGCTGATTCTTGTGCTTCTGACTAGTAGCACCACGGTCAAAAAGAGATGACACAGGGGTTGTTGTATGTTTTTTGGGCTATATGGCCATGTTCTAGAGGCATTCTCTCCTGACGTTGCACCTGCATCTATGGCAAGCATCCTCAGAGGTTGTGAGGTCTGTTGGAACTCACACAAATTAATTGTCTGGATTGCTATTATTGCAGAAGGTAACTCAGTACATGTAACTTGTTACTTCCAAGCTTTCAGAATATCTCGGAATATGCAGACTGGTGCATAGTTTAATTTTAGGTATGATGGTAATTTTAAAGTGGATGAATTTTAGTATTGTTCCTTCTTTCCATAGGCTGAAGCAAGACTGGCAGCAAAGCGTGCGGCACGAGCTGAAGCACGAGAAATCCGGATGAAGGAACTTGAGAGGCAACAAAAGGAAGTATGTTAAGAATATTTTATTGGGTGTTTCCATTGTCTTTATTGCCTTAAGTACAAAAATTGTTTTGCAGTTTTGTAACTCAGTGTCAGCTTCTGCTGGTAGTTTCTAGCAATTCACTAGTACTCACACTCCAGGTGGCTGTAGCTAGCTTTATTTCTACTACATAGATGAGAAAAAAATAACACTACTAATTTCCTCATGTACCATCAGTCCCTTTTATAATGCTCTTCCCTCCTCCCAAACCCTTCCCCAGCCTTCTCCAACTCCTGTGAATGATTTTTCCTGATGATCGCTTTCTCACAGGACTGCTCTCCTCCTCCAGGTTAATTTGTTAACTCTGACCTTGCTTCAGGTATGTTGGCAGGGGCAGGAGTCAAATGCTTGTTCTTTCAAGCTTTGAATCATGTCCCGAGACTCAGTTACAAAAATGGTCTTTTGAGACTATGAATTACTGATGGTTGTAAGAATTCGGTATTCAGATATGGAAGCATGAAATATGTGGCAATGCTGTAACAGATCTTCACATTCTAGTAATATAGCACAAAATTGGATGAGACCAGAATTACAATACATACTTTTGAGCATTACCTTTTATAATGTCATGAAACCAGAAATTTTTATATAGGGTGGAGAATTTGTCTCTTCAGGGAATCCAATATCTTTGTTTTTATTTTTGGTTCCTAATCACCCATTAGTGAAAGGAAAGGAAGTTGGAAGCAGTATTTTCCACTTAGAAGTGGAATCGCCTTAGGTCTTCCTCTTCAACAGCCAGAGCATTGTTATTCCCTTTGATTATTATGCTTTCTCTGTTGGATGAAGTCAGTACCTGCCTATTTTCTTGAGGAATGAAAACTAGAAGAACATATGTCAGGCACATTCACAAAGCAGGCGTTAACATCTAATTTGATGCTAACAGTGGTTTACAAGATTGCTGGCTGTTTATCTCCATCTTGATATTTAATCAGTGGGCAATATCCTCTCTGAAGACTTCAGTTTCAAATAGAAAATATAACTTAACTGGCATGTTGAAAAGCTCTCCTGCTACAACTGTTGCTTCTATTAAAGTAGAATACTCCTTTGTTGGCTCAGCCTGGAGGTTTACATGTCTGGCAGAGTATTTATATCCGCCTGCTGTGCCAGGCATGAGTAATAGGATTTCCTAAACAGCATTACAACAAACCACAGTGAATAAATATCCTGACCCTTGCTGCGAAGATGCCTATAATGTTTATAATGTAAGGGAATGATTTTGTTACAAGAGCATGTTAGGTCTCTAACAGCTCCCTACTTTATACATTCAGAATGTGTTTTCAGTGCTTTGAGTATCCTAGTGTTTTATCAATCACATGCATTTGAACAAATAAATCCATTTTAAGAATTTAATGAGCTCACTGAAATTTCACTGGAAACAAAAAGGAGATTTGGTAAAACAATGTCCTTTTCCCTAAACAAAAATTAATATCTTAACTAATAAAAGAACGATTATGCTGAAATATTAATGAAATACCGTATAATCCGGGGTACTAGATAGAATCATAGAATCATAGAGTTGGAAGAGACCTCATGGGCCATCCAGTCCAACCCCCTGCCAAGAAGCAGGAATATTGCATTCAAATCACCCCTGACAGATGGCCATCCAGCCTCTGTTTAAATGCTTCCAAAGAAGGAGCCTCCACCACACTCCGGGGCAGAGAGTTCCACTGCTGAACGGCTCTCACAGTCAGGAAGTTCTTCCTCATGTTCAGATGGAATCTCCTCTCTTGTAGTTTGAAGCCATTGTTCGGCATCCTAGTCTCCAAGGAAGCAGAAAACAAGCTTGCTCCCTCCTCCCTGTAGCTTCCTCTCACATATTTATACATGGCTCTCATGTCTCCTCTCAAATTAAAATAATAATAAAATGACTTAATATGGCTGCCTTGACCTTGGGCTCAGCTCCTCCTCCTCCTCCGCCTTGGCTCATGGCGGCCTCCTGGGCAGGCTCCCCGTCTTTCCTCACTTCCTGGCTGCCTTCCTTGCACAGGCCCAGGCCTCTCCTTTGTTAGCGGCTGGGCCCCTGGGCTGCTTCCCGCGCTGCTCAGGCTGCTCTCCTTCCTGTCCATGGCCTCGCGAGATGTGCATCTTCTCCCGTGAGACAACGTTCTCTCGCAGGAGAAGAAGCACTTTGCGCGAGGCCTGGACAGGAAGAAGGAGAGAGGCCTGAGAAGCGCCTGGTTTGGGGAGTCGTCTTAAACGGCAAGTATATCCCCAACTCTCTATTTTGTTTGCTAAAATTGGGGGGTCGTCTTACAGCCCCAGTCGTTTTGTAGTCCGGAATATATGGTATGTATAATGACTAAAAAGGGAGTTAATTTTAGAAGTTTTAAAGTTGCAGTACAACAATTGGGAAATAGAAAGTTAATGGGCAGAGGTTCACAAATAGACTGTTTAGTTTATAAGAACATTCTGTCTTAATTTGGTCAGAACTCAGTCATAATATAAATAACTAGTTCCAAAGTTGCCAACTGGATTCTTGAACTGTTGTCTCAGTTGATAGAAATGACACTAGGATTATTGAACCACTTATCCTTTTATAGACCTGAACACACATTTAGAAAATGGAGTATATTTCTATGCCTGAAAGAAACTCTACATTCAAAACAGGGTTTCAGCCAGCTTAGAATAGAAACCATAGGCTTTTACAACACCCAAATTATAGCATTATGATTCCACCTTAACAGCCAAAGATTCATCCTATGTAGTCCTTTCTGGGCTTTGTAGTTTGAGGAGACAGCATGAGAGATCTCTTAACTTTCAAGAATAATAAATACCTCTCTTTAAATTGGTAATAACAGGATTCCACAGAAAGTTTCCATGACAGTAAAACTGGAATAACAGTAATATTATTGACCTAAATGCCCCAAAAGCACTAGATCTCCTCTTACTTTGGAAGCTAAGTCATGTCAGCCTTAATAGTCCTTGAATGGGAATACCAGGTAGTGTAGGAAACATTTCGGAGGAAGGCAAACCCTACTTTTCTCCCTTGCCTGAGAAAATCCTGTGAAATTCATGAGGTACAAACAGATATGCAATATTGAACGGTATAAAAGGGTACGTGTTGCATTGACTGGGGCTTGTGGAGCAGGAAAAGAAAATTCTTCATCTTCCTCTCCCCTTTTTAACTTTGTAAAATGTTTCCTCTCTTACATAGTTGTCATGAAGTCCTCATGATGGGGGTCTGTAGAGCAGCAAAGAATAAAAAAGAAAGAAATACTAGAAAACATGCTTCTCGGGTGATGCATAAAATCTTTAACTGGTGGGAATCCCCACGGTTCATAACATATTCAGCTCAAAATATGCATGTGTCTTAAAATAGAATTTTCTGTACAGTGCAAAAAATGCTGTTAATTGTTAAAAAAAAGACCACATGAAAATTTTGTGCAGAATATGCTCCCAGCGATTGCATTTTCTGCATGGAAAACACAATCTTTGCACAGAAAATTGTGATTTTATACGGAAATAACTTTCTGAGCAGAGAGTGCTGTTTTTGCACAAACTACAGGTATGCTAACTTTTCTATTGTGTGAGTCCCAAACTGCAAATAGTTTTTGGAGACTTTCGCATAGTGGGAAGAAAATTGTTAAATCTACTGCTTATCTTTTGTTTGTGGCTCAAAATGGTTAGTTAAACTTGAAAATGTGATAATTCATTAAACTGTATGTAACTTTTTTGTCATTGTAACATGCTGTCATCCTGAAATACACTGCTTTGAAATTGGATCCATCATTTTGAAATAACCTGTATTTTGAGGTGAAGAGTATGCACATTATAAAGCCTTAATAGTAAAAGTTAAATGGCTTTCAGTACATGATTTGCCTGTACAAGACCTGTGATTATCTGTGAGCAATAGTGTTTATACAGTTTCAGTTTACTAACATATTGTTGTTGTTGTATGCCTCCTAGTCATTTCTGACAGTGGCAATCCTAAACAGAATCTGTCATGGAATTTTCTGGTGCTCAGAGTATGTGACATTTCTGAGGTTGCCTTTTCCTACATTTCCGGGGTATTGTGCTCTCCCCATTCCCATTTTGTAACATCAATGGTTTATATCAAATTGGTAGTAGATACACTGAATCAATTATTGTTCATTTACCATTCAAAATTGATTCACTGGGTTTACTGTATTTGTGATTAGCGATAATTTTGTTTCTCACACAGGTTTCTAAGGCTGTGCATCTTGATTAATTTACTTGTTTAAATTACTGTATTTTCAGGTGTATAACGCAACTGGGCTTATAAGACGGCCCCCATTTTTTTAAGTTAAAATATAGAGTTAGAGATATACTCGGCCTATAAGACTACCCCTCTTCCAACACAATTCTATTGATTCGGTAACTATAACTCCCAGAATGCCTCAGCGGGCATGTACAAGGCACGCCACCACTTGGGGCTGCTGGAGTCGTAGTCTGGAGGTGCTACCTTGGGCCTAGGTGATCCCGGTGGCCTTCGGAGGCTTCTGCTGGCCGATCGGGTGGCCCTGCTTTCTTCCTCTCTCTCCCAGCTGCCTAGAAATAGCGAAGTGGGAGGATTTGGAGGAGGGTCTTGAAAGTAGAGCAGGGAGAGTGGCGGCGGTGATGGGGACAAGTCCCTTAGCGGGGACCTGAGGAGGGTGGAGGGAGGAACAGCGTCAGGCCCTCTGGACTGTCCCCACTGCTCTCCCCGCTCTACTTTCAAGGCCCTTCTCCAACTCCTGCGACGTCACCATTTCCTTGGGCCTAGGCGAGCCCGGTGGCCTTCAGAGGCTTCTGCCGGCCGACCAGGTGGCCTTGCTTCTTTCCACTCTCCCCCCGCTGCCTGGAAATGGTGATGTTAGAGGAGTTGGAGAAGGGCCTTGAAGGTAGAGTGGGGAGAGCAGTGGGGGCGGCAGGGATAGCCCAGTGGGTCTGCTGCTCCTCCCCCTCATACCTTCCTTCCTCCTTAGCGGCGTGGCCTGAGGAGGAGGAGGAGGGAGGGAGGGAGGGAGGGAGGGAGGGAGGAAGGAAGGAGGCATAGTCCTGAGGCTCTTCCTTGGGTCTAGGCGAGCCCAGTAACCTTTGGGCTGTCCCCACCACCCCACCACTATCCCCACTCTACTTTCAAGGCCCTCCTCCAAATCCCCCAACATTGCTATTTCCAGGCAGCCGGAAGAGAGGAAGGAAGCAAGGCCACCCAATCGGCCAGCAGAAGCCTCCAAAGGCCACCGGGCTCACCTATGCCCAAGAAAGTGCCTCCGGACTATGACTCCCAGCAGCCCTGGGCAGTGGTGTACCTTGGACGTGCCTGCTGAAGCATTTTTATGCCTCCGTTATTATACCTGGCGTATAAGACCACCCCCGACTTTCCAAATGATTTTCCAGGGTTAAAAAGTTGTCTTAAACGCCGTAAAATACGGTATTCTGTAAATACAACATGTCTCTTAACACAGGTTTCTGAGACTGCACATCTTGATTATACTTGTTTAGATAATAATGTAAATACAACATGGTGGTTGTTCTTTATCCTCTGAGTGTCCTTAGTTGTGCTACTGGAAATTAAAATGGCAGTAGCTATTCTATTTTAACACAGTTGCCTTCCAGGTGCAGTGGACTGTGCTTTTACAGTGACAGTGTATTCAAAAATCTTTTTGTTGTAATGAGCTAAAGCTGCAGGTTATTTTTCAAAGGTCACTCATCTGAAATGAAATCCTCTGAAGAAATCCCACCCACCCCATGAGCTGAGGCAGCAAAAACCTGCATGCTTCAAAGCATTTGTCCTTCGCTAAGCACATGCTATCTTTGATATCACAGAGCAAATAAACCTGTGTGCTGTTTTTCTAAGAAAATAATAATGAGAATTAACTTTACTAGTGGACAATGTGCTTTTTTTTTTAAAGATAAAGGATTAGTATTCTGCCTTCAGACCAAGGGACATTTACTTTATTTCAGATGCCCTTTCTTAATGTTTTAAACTTAATATTTTGATATCTTAAACTTCAGGATAAACCTTATTCATAGATAAAGGTGGGTTTTTTTGTAATTATGTTAGAGTAGGGTTTGAATATCTGAAGATTGCAGGAAGTCGCATGTGGAAAGCAGACCGTGCATACATCATCCTGGCACTGATATGAAAAACTGGAAGTAGCAAGGTTGTCTTTCCTCTTGGGAATCCTTGAGCTGTATAATATAATAATACGATGACCCACTTATGGCAGTATAAAATAGGATATTTCTTAGCAGTGTTGTATGGCAGTTAGAAGGACTGGAGAGATTTGGAAGGTCTACCTGCCTGAAAGCCTATAAAGGTTTTTAGGATTGAGCTTATTGGTACCTGCCATCTTTTCATTTAATGAAAATCTGTGCCCAGTGTCAGAATTTGTTTAAAAGGCAAGCATTGTATCCCACAGTCCGTTAAAGGTAGAAAATTTGGGCTGTGTAGTACACATCAAATAATGAATTTGGTTTTTGTCAAGTCACACTTTCCTTAGATAAGCATTTTAAATTATTGATATATTTTTGTGGGTTCTTCAGTTAGGCTTACTGTCAACAGGGGCCTGGTACTTATCTGAACTTTTTTCTGTCACTGGATTTTGGTCAGAAATCTGTAATAATACATGCTTTCGCTATATGATACAATTTAGTCCTCCAAACAGAACAGGTATTTGGAAAGGATTGGGGGTGGTGGTGGCAGTGATATTTAATTACTGTTTATGTCCCTTTTCTGCAAAGTGTGATTCTCAACTTCGTATTTGCAGAAACGACCGACAAGTGATAAAAAAAACTATGCAAGGATATTAACACTAGTTATGTCCTAGTTGTTACTGTACCCAAGGGTGAGAATCCCCCCTCCCTGAGGTCATGGCAGTGGCAATTGCACCATTTATGCTTGTACCAGTTTCATACCTCTTGTCCCCAGGAGCCTCTTGTTTAATCTTCCACAGGTTCACCACTCAATATATAAGCTGCTATGGAGGTGAGGGAGGAGTCACCTACTGAAGGGCCAGTTATTCCCAATATTTCCACTGCTTTGCTCACATTGTATTGTATTAGAAACAGAAATGTCCTAGCTGTTTAAAACTGTAAACTGGTTTGGTTTATGTCCTGAAATATGAACACCGCCCTTGGTTTTTTAGAAGGGATTTGTTGAGCTAGCTTCAACTGTGCATCTGTTTTCAAATTGCAGAATTTTCAGAGCATTTTTTTAAACATTTCCTCCATGTGGTATAATCCTTTTTGCTATTGAAGAAGATAAATACTTGAATTTCTGAAAGTATTACTCACTGTTAGCTATCTGAAGTAAAGAGTGATTAAGTAGCCTGATAACCAGCATTATATTTTGCAAAGTGGTATTCTTTGGACAAAATTACGTGTAAATAGAGAAGCTGCTCAGCCTGTCAAGCTATGCCTAATTTAGTTTATATTATTACAAAGTGGAATAGTTGTTTTTCCCTTTTTTCTTCCCCTGCCCCTATGTCAAAATCCTCAGTGGAAGTAAAGAGAAATGTTTTTGAAAACTGGTTTTGCAATTGGGTCTTCATATTAATGTGTGTTAAATATTAAAAATATATATGGAATTGTTGCAAAGAGTTTGGTACAGTATAAATGCCTGATTTATTGTGTATTGTGGAAGCAATAAAAGATATAAAGTACACCAGGCTCCGCAAATGTGCATTTATGTACAGCCCTTCACATTTTCAGGCTGACGTTTGCAGACTTGATTAGTCACACATTTAATTAAAATATTCTGTCTAGGTTCTTCAATGTAACTATTGTCACCTTTCACACAGAGAACCTTGAGATTCCTACATAGAACGCCTCTCTAGGAATCTCTAAGCCCTCCGTTGCAATTGTATGGTCATCTTCCATAGGCATTCCTAGAGAGGTGTTCTCTCAGGACAAAAAGTACTGTATATACTCGAGTATAAGCCGACCCGAATATAAGCCGAGGGACCTAATTTTACCACAAAAAACTGGAAAAACGTATTGACTCGAGTATAAGCTGAGGGTGAGAAATGTAGCTGCTACTGGTAATCGTCAGTAGGTTAAATGTTTTTTAGTATTTACACAAAACCGTAATTTAAGATAAGACTGCCCAACCCTGATTCAATCATTATCCTAACCTCCTTCAATGTAAATATGTTTACCTATTACCTATAATGATAGAATAAAGTAATAAATGTAGTAACATGTAATAAAAATAATAATAGAGTAAATAATGGAAATTTAATAATAATAGTAATAATAATAATAATAAAGCAATGTAAAAATAACAATAATAGAGTAAAATAATAAATGCAATAAATATAATAATACAGTAAAATAATGTAAATGTAATAGTAATATAGAAAAATAATAAATGTAATAAAAGTAAAACTAATAACACGCCACAGCCCCCGCTCTGTTGCCACCATTATGCCCGCCCACCCCCTATTATAACAATAATAGAGTAAAATAATAAATAACCTTTACTCGAGTATAAGCCGAGGGGATTTTTTTCAGCCTAAAAAAGGGGCTGAAAAACTAGGCTTATACTCGAGTATATACAGTAATGCTTTTTCACTTTCATGCGGTCTTATGCCACTATCCCCAGCAAATATGGAGGGCTGCTTGTCTTTATTCACTGGGTTGTACTTCCCAGTGAATTTGAATTTGGGTTATGATTTGACAGTCATGGAATGTGACCTCATTGATGAATTGCAGTGGAGACAGGGTAGGAAACTGTGCCGTTGTGCTGCTAAATCTTCAGCTTGCTCTTAACAGATCTGCACAGCTGATAGCTATGCCCATGGAGATCTGTCTTAGTTGAAATTACTAGCCTCAAGAATGTTAATAGAGATGTCACATTGATGGATCTTATCTCTGGGTCTTAATACATCATGGTGATCTCTGTACAAAATAAAACAATTTCCTGCAATTTCCTCTTCCCTCTCAAGTATGTATTTTACACTTAGTAAAAAAAAATGTTCATTTTGAGGTAATAATTTCCATTGGTTTTCCTGCAGCAAAACACCAATGCATCCTGTGCCAATTTAAAGACTAACAAGCTTAATTGTAAACCATTGCAGGGTTTGTTAGCCTTTAAGGATGCATTGCTGATCTTGCACTGTGGTTTATGCTGGGTTTTTATTACTAGTCCACTGGAACACGAGTCCTTTGTTTTACTGTATCTGCGGAAACCTCTTCTCTTTTCCTTATACATTTCTCCTTTCTTTCCTTCCTCTGTCCTTATAGATCTATCAAGTTCAAAAGGTAGGGTTTGCTTAACCTTTTGTGTGATTGCATGCCTTTTTTCTCTTGCATCAGGAGTCTTGATAACCCTTGAGAAATAAAGCATCCTAAACATCCCAGGGATGCATCTGGATTTATCTGGAAATTGAGAGTGTTTGGATTGCTGCTAATAACTTAATTAGACCTAAGAGAGGTGATATTATGGCCTGTTCTTATAGCAGCTTCTCCCATAGCTGAATTACTGTTAAAATACTAAACTAGAAATCAAGAGAAGCATCACCCATAAAGGAATAAATTTGCAGCTCAAAATTAACCCACATTGGTTACAGTTTTTAAAATCATATCATACAAAGTTTGCTAGTCTCTGATCTACCGTTGGATATGCAAGCATGGCCATGAAGTTTGGAAAAATTCTTTGTACGCCATGTGGGGATCACCATGCACAAGAACAAGCCAACTAGATGCATTTTATATCAAATACATACATAGTGAGCACCATAGAACAACAGTAGCTTAGTGCTTATTGACTTTTGTCTTTAGAGTCATAATTATTTGGTATTCTGCTACAACTGAGTGGCAGTAGTACAAAGAAAAGCTATATCTAGCAAGTCATCAGTGCGAGAAAACACCTGTAGAATGGGCAGTAAAAATTACAATTGCATTATTTTTTTAAAGCTATAGGTAGTTCAGGACTGTGGTTGCATCTTGTCTTATACTACAGGGTGAGGCAGCATAACTTCCTTTTTTCAAAACTTAATAAAACCCATTGTATGAATCAGATTTTTTTAATAATGTAGGCACATACCTAAAGTTTTGTTTTGCATAGTTTTCAAGATCAAATTAGGTAGGCGACGTCCCCCATTCTTCATTCTCAATACACTGAGTAAACCGATTTCTGACGTTTGCCATAACTCTTGCCAGCATAGCAGGCGTTATGTTGGCAATTTCTTCCTGGATGTTTGTCTTCAAATCTTGTAGGGTCCTTGGACGGTTCACATAAACACCGGATTTCAAAAAAACCCATAGAAAAAATCACAAGGGCCAAATCTGGAGAGCAGGCTGGCCACTCCAAATCCGCTCGAAAAGTAGGCCTCAATGGCAAAAGCACGCTCCTCACTGTTTCAACGCATGATGGCAACTGAACTGTGTCAGGACAAAACTTTATATTCCCGCTTCTCGAACGAGACCACTAGCGCTCCGCTACGTCTTCAACCGACTGAGTGGTGTGCATTTTAAAAAAGGAAGTTATGCTGCCTCACCCTGTAAAATAGTATAGCATAAAAATTGGACAGACTGCAGTATACTTTAAACACTGAATGATTATGGTCCATTAACATATGGGAATACAGCACTATAAAAAGACCAAACTTGTTAATTTTGATTGCTTTGCTGATGTATTAGGTCCAACCATTCTCTGTTGAAGTTTTTTTAAAAATGAAAAACAGTAGTCAGGTTTTGTCTTTATATCAAAAAGTTAAGGCTTTGAGTCTCCTTTGCGAAGAGAAAAAGCAGGGTATAAATAGTAATAATAATAATAATAATAAGAAGAAGAAGAAGAAGAAGAAGAAGAAGAAGAAGAAGAAGAAGAAGGGCTAACTTCTCAAATTTTGGGTAATCTGCTGTTTGCTTTGTCTCAGAAGTCACACTAACAATCAGGCTCCTTTTGCTTGGGAGACCTTCTGCTCCTCTTTTGCATGCTTTCACTGGATGACTGTGCTTTACTAATGCTTCTTGAAAGTGTCAGAATGACAGTAGAAATTAAGCTGTTTTTGAAATGCTGTCCTTCTGCGCATTTTCATGTTTGCTTTAGGCCTGGGCTGTGCACGAGATATGCTGTTTTGAAGATTTAGAGGTGATACTGAAGAGCTGTCATTGCCTGCAGTCTCACCATGGTCTCTCATCAAACCAGTTTTGTGGGCTTCGGTAGTGCTTCGCTCACTCCTGGGGTGGGAGTGGTGCTGAAATCAATTCCCAGAAGTTTAATGAGAAGTGCTATTTGGGCTGTTTTGATTACCTTAACATCCTCCTCCTTGGGCTTTGGACTGGCTTTGAAGGATATTCATTTAAAAAATGAGTGATTTATGGAAAATGGCATGACATGTCATATCTTATGTATGTAAACTCACATGTAGTGTTTGAGCAAGAATTGTGTGGTGTTCCAGGTATCCTAACATCCATTACACAGGGGGAAACAAACCAGACCTGTGAGGAGAAAACTGGTGCCATTTTTTGAAATCAGGAGGTCAAATATATTGAGAAACAGGACACCGGATGATTGATGTTTTTATCATCCTTGTGGAACAGAAGACCAGGTGCACCATGGAAACAGCTGTCTTTGCTAGTTTTTGGACAGTTTCTGAAGTCACATTGTCAAGGAATTGAAGTAACTTTCTGTGACAATACAACACAAGAGAGTGATTCCTGGTGGCTTAATCTCTATCTTGTAGCCACTGGAACAAACCACTAGGAATGTGAAGTACCTGTCCCTAGAACTGATGTGCACATGAGTCATTAAGAGTTGGGATCTTATCACAGAGGACAGTGTTGTAAAAAGCTTTAAACAAACTGGCATTTCTGATCTGGCCACGGTGGTCCACGCTCTTGTCACATCCCGGTTGGATTACTGCAACGCACTCTACGTGGGGTTGCCTTTGAAGACTGCTCGGAAACTTCCAACTAGTCCAGCGAGAAGCAGCCAGATTGCTCACCGGAGCGGCGTGCAGGGAGCATACCACTCCCCTGTTGCGTCAGCTCCACTGGCTGCCGATCCAATTCCGAGCACAATTCAAAGTGCTGGTTTTGACCTACAAAACCCTATATGGTTCTGGCCCAGTGTATCTGTCCGAACGGATCTCCCTCTACATCCCACCTCGAAGTTTAAGATCTTCTGGGGAGGCCCTGCTCTCGACCCCGCCACTCTCACAAGTGAGGCTGGCGGGGACGAGGAGCAGGGCCTTCTCGGTGATGGCCCCTCACCTGTGGAACTCACTCCCCAGGGAGATTAGATCGGCATCCTCCCTTTTATCATTCAGGAAAAACCTGAAGACCTGGATGTGGGACCAAGCCTTTGGGCATTCTGGCAGCTAAAAGAAAAACCCGACGATGAGCAGGAATTGATGAAATGGAATGGACACTCGGAACTCTAGACACTGAGCATGAGATTGTTTATGTTTTGATATTGTATTGATGTTTTAACCTGTTAATTTGCTTAAATTGTTTTGTATGTTTTGTATAATGTGATATAGGCATCGAATTGTGCCTTCGCTTGTAAGCCGCCCTGAGTCCCCCCTCGGGGGTGAGAAGGGCGGGGTAGAAGTAATTGAACTAAATAAATAAATAAATAAATAATGCACTGGATGGATCAGAAGATGATGCATTGTGGGAGAGGGATGATGAGGAGAAAATATAGCAAGGACCGTGGTACAGTCTTTTGACAAGGAAGATTAAAATGTTTAACCTTGTAAAATTGTTTTCTGGATACTCCTATATATGCTCTCAAATTGTTTTCAACATTTTATTAAAAGGTTACTGTTTTGGGACCAGAAAAAAGGTTTTCCCCCTCTCGTGTAATAGTTGCCCCCCCCCTTTTTTTTAAGAAAGGGAGAAAGTGTAACTATTATGCAATATTATCTGTTTAACATTTGAACTCAGACTAGCACCTTCATTCCCAAATGCAAAATAACATGGAAGTGTCTTTTCTTGGCAGTTACACTCAGGGATGAGCAATCCTATCCCTCTTATTGTTCTTTGTAACTTGGGAGTCATGATGAAGCTTGTTCGCTTTCTGCACAGAGTTAGGGCACTATGGCCTACATTTTTTCATTGTATATGGAGATTTTTTAAAAACAGGTACTGTTCTCTCCATTCATAGGAGCCCCCTTAGGTTGCATTCTTCTGAGTCCATTCCTGCTCCTAAAGCATCTCTCAAATGTAACATGACACTACAGTTGCTCCTCAGAAATTCCTTCATACTAAGTCTTGACTGAACTGGGTCAGAAATGCAGGCCTTTTGCACCTTTCACCGCTACTTATGTCTGTGGCATGACTATACTAACAGTGTTCAGCAGCCCTTTACTCCTAGAATACCTTAAAGCAGTGCGGCTGTTCAGCCAAGAGAAGCTTGTTTGTGAAAAGCAGTTCCATTCTTCAGTAGCTTCAGTGGATATTGAGCACTTTTGCTGTGGCTTTAAGCTTTGCATGAGCATGTTTACCTGATCGTTTATATGTGAGAGAATAAAATGCTGTAAAAGATGACTAATAATATAGTAGTGGGGAGTGTCCTATTTGCAGGTGACATTTCAGCTTTTCTACGAGGGGGGAATTGGTCTTGTCTCTTCACTTCTTTGGATTTCTTGGAAGTCATTTTTTTCTGAACTGAAAACTAGAATTCAAATGTGAAAGAGAATAATGCAGTGTGGTTCATTCCGGACGTGCACATCTTTAGGCAGTCTGAAGACCCCATTCCTCGGTGGAAATCTTGTTTAATATGAAAAACCGCCTATTCATAATAAATGTGTTATTATAACTTGCATTTCCCTTTACAGTTGCCTCTTTGTATTTGTCTTATCTCACTTCTTTGTAATGGTTTTGTTCATTTTGTGTTCCACATTCTAATATGCTAGTTAATCCCATTCTTCCTCAGTCATTTTCTTCCTTTATTGTTATATTTATGTATTACAGCTTTTATATTCCGCCCTTCTCACATGTATGGCAAACATTCAATGCCAATTTTTGACATACAAACATATACAGACATACACAGAGGCTATTTAACTTTTTCTTGGCCTCCAGGGGAGCTGTCGCTTTCATCGTCCATCTGCGACGCTGATGAAGCACTTCTGCATTCCCCGCATGCTTCCACGCTGGAATGCTTTGCTGGAGTCTTCTTTATACTATGCACTTTCCCTTTCTTCAGTATATATGCAGCTCATACTGACTTCTAAACTATCCAAAACATTTGTTTTATCCTCATTTTTTCCTTGCAAGCTTCCCATTATTTGGCCTTATTGTGTTAAGTTCCTATCCTTTGTTTGTCCTGCTTCTTGGCAGGGGGTTGGACTGGATGGCCCACAAGGCCTCTTCCAACTCTATGATTCTATCCTCTGTTTAATTTGATTCAGTTTGTGAATCTGTGGGAGTGAACTTTCACAGTTAAATTTGTAGAGTGCCGTCTCTTTTACAGTGTTTGATATGGTACATATTGTTGGAAGTATATGGTGAATTTCTCTACACCAGGGTCCTCAAACTTTTTAAACAGAGGGCCAGGTCACCGTCACTCAAACAGTTTGAGGGCCGGATTGTAATTTGAAAAAAACCTAACATGAATGAATTCCTATGCACACTGCACATATCTTATTTGTAGTGCAAAAACACTTAAAAACAATACAATAATTAAAATGAAGAACATTTTATTAGTATCTCAGTGGGAAGTGTGGGCCTCCTTTTGGCTGATGAGATAGGATTGTTGTTGTTGCAGTGGCTTTCAAGTCATTTCAGACTTAGGTTGACCCTGAGCGAGGGCCAGGTAAATGACTTTGGAGGGCCGTATCCAGCCCCCGGGCCTTAGTTTGAGGACCCCTGCTCTACACATTTGAATCTAAGAAGTGAAGTGATAACAGGCAAGATAGAAACTTGACTAGATCCTGCTTTTGTAGGAAAAACAGACTTTCCCAGCTTTCCAGGTCACTAAAGAACTTAGGCTTCTGGTTAAATGTAAATAAGGTAAATAAGTAAGCCTTTAGCCTAAGTATCCAAGCTTATATCAATGCCACATTTCCCTTATTGCTCTAAAATAAGCTGTCCACCCCTGTACCAATAGAGAGGGCATGCCTGTGCTATAGAGACAGATACACAATATGACATTACTGTTTCCCTCAATGCTTCTGTCATTGGAGTACATGCCCCCCGCCCTTCATGGGAAAGCTTGGTTCTACAACCCTGTTTTTATGAACTCCCTCTTTGCAAATAACTTGCTCCTCTTCTTATCTCACCCGAGTTTTTTAACATTTTATCCTGCACATGTGGCCCTCCCATTGTCACTGTCATTGTGTTTATTGTAATGTTACATTGTTAATGTATTCATATGTTTTTATGTAATTATGATGTTCTTGCTTGTTGCTTATGTTTTTGGTTTTATTTTGCTGTAATATGTTGTTTGGGCTTGGCCTAATGTAAGCCACCTCGAGTCCCAGTTGGGGAGTTGGTGGCGGGGTATAAATAAAGATTATTATTATTATTATTATTATTATTATTATTATTATTATTATTATTATTATATGCCATTTAGCTTAGTCACAAAATTAAAATGTTGAGCATTACTGAGTTTTGAATTTCATCATAAACCAAAGTCTTTCTTTTGAATTTTTCTTTCAAGTTAAGAGCTACTCCAGGCATGTTTGGTTGCCTTGGTTGGGAAGCATTGCCTATTCATGCCAGGGGTCCAGCTTATGGATACGATTTGTAGGCTGGGCTGTTTTGGAGATTTTGTTGTGTTGACTTACCTCTGTTGTATTTAAGTGAGGTGTATGCTACTTTGCTCATAGTCTTGCAATACAGTATTAATTTCTTAAATTATTAGTCAGAGGCACTTTTCTTAATTATGCAAATTCTCTCATGTAGGCATGCCTGAAAGCTTTTGTATTCTGTACTTCTCACTCTACATTTTTCCTCCAACTTTTTCCATCTGTAGAAATATTATGGTCTGGACACAAAGTTTGGTGACATCGAGCAGTGGATGGTAGGCTTTGTCTAAGATTCCAGTGTTGTTTGAAAGACTTATGTCTTGAAAAAATGATATGGCATGGCTTCTATATTTGAGAATGTGCATTTGTGTTGAATATTTGCATTAATATCAAACTCCAGTTTTTATGAACATAGCTGAGTAACAGCTAGTTTGTTGTTTAAATTTTTGAAAACCATCTATGTCCTTTATAAACTAAATAAATTCTTATAGGATGTGGTTTGAGATTGCTGTAGAAGAGCATTCCCCGGTTAACCTTTTTGAGCTTAGACTATAGTTCAGGCAGTACTTCAGGCAGTACTATCCAGTAAGAGTTAAATATAATCTATCTGTATATTTTATCTATCTGTATCCCAGTTTTTTCAGAGTTCAGAAAAGTTCCAGGATCCATATCTTACATTATTTTACTCTCTCCACCCCATAAATGAAGCACTACCAACTTTTTTACCTATCCTTTTTCATTTTCTTTGACCAGTGGAAATTCTCCAATTACTGTGCACAAGTCTAGATGCTGTTAGATCCTTGTTGTAGGTACAATAAAAGAAGATGTAAGACACAAGGCATCTGTCAGACATAACAGATGCCATTTGTAGGAATGCTTAAATTAGGAGTTCTGTAATCCAGTCCATTTGTGGTTGTCTCTATATTGCATATTAACCATTGCATGATGGTGGTTTTGAGAAGGCTCCTAATAAAAATACATGTGAAATGGGAGTTCCGACTTTTTTTGTCATTTTCATCTGTCACCATATACTATGTTCCGAAGACTACACTTTTGAAGTTGTGTAGTAGTATTTCTTGTCTTCAATCCTTCATCTTTCTCTTTCCTCCTGCCTTCATAGGAAGACAGTGAGCGTTACACCCGTAAATCCAGAAGAAATGCCTCGGTCAGTATGGTTGCATTTTTTTGTTAAAACTTTCATTTTGTGGTAGTGAAGAAAACTTAGTGACATATATATTCCTTTTTTAAAAAAGTGTATTATAAAGAATTCTTTCAACTTATCACAAGCTATATGTACTCTCTCTCTGTATGCGTGTCTCTGTGTAATATTAAGGAATGGGACAGGAGGATGGGCTCACCTACTCCTTTCTCTCCCATGCGAAAGTTCCCGATGCTCCTTATCCATAGTTATATCTGTCCTGATCTTCATTGTGGCTAATACCTATTCACCTTTAATCCAAGATAATAAAAGAATTCTATTAAACTTTGTTTTCAAATCCTATAAATGGATGCTGATTAGTATTACATACAGTTATTTTTGGAAGGTCTGCTCATCATGGTGAATTATAGTTGGTGTTGGTGGTGATTTGCTCAAGGAAGGAATTATCGTATCCTGCAGTATTCTTTCAGTCATTGCTAAAAGTGGTGTCTGCTTCCTAGTCGTAATTGCAGCTATAGAACTAGAAGAAGGCAGAAATTGATATAACGTTTATTCATCCGCTTCACTTATGTTTTCTCAAGATGCTGTTAAATAATATGACATACTAATAATGTTTTAGGTTGTTGGATTTAATTTTTCTGGTACTTGTTTAATTGAGTTTTTGTTTTCTTTAAAGTATGTGACACAGGCAGCTGTAAATTCATTAGTGGGTTGAAGTTGGATTGTAACTAAAATATTTGCACATTATATGGAATATGCGTTTTTTAAAAATTATCTTTGGTGTCCTTTTCACTTCTCCGTAGGCTTCGGATGAAGATGAGCGTATGTCCGTGGGTAGCCGTGGAAGCCTCAGGGTTAGTAACAACTGATTAAACATTCCTAATTATTTCTATCATTTAATGAAATTCTCCTTTCCCCTATTTAAGTGTTATTCCTATTTAATTGTGCAGTACTTACTTTGGAAGTAGCTGATATACTTCAGAAACTTTGTTTTTGTGGGTATCACAAACTATGTTGAATTGATATGAGATATTCATTGAAAAACTATAGCAAAATGTGCTGCAGGATGTCCACAAAGACAAAGGTATTACAGTTTAATAACCTTTTCTATATGTTATGAATAATGCAAATAATGCAACCAGGAGATATTACCAAAGTCTCGATTTAAGTCTGAGTGGGATTTTAAAGTGGTGGAATTTTTGATTAGTAAGTCTCTATATGTTGGCCATCTCATCCACCCTAGTAACCTCCTTTGGTTGGCTTCCATCGATGAGACCCACAGTGGGGTTCTAGAATAGAAATTTCTTTTATATTTCTGCCAAGTTCTAAGTAAGGCTGATGCTTTCTTTGCATGTATGCCTCAGTGGGCTATCTTCACTTTGAGATGCATATGAGTTTGCTTCCATTTAAGAGAAGTCTTGATATTTTGTGGAGCCACGTTGTCCCATTTAAGCAGTGGTTCTCAACCTGGGGTCCCCATATGTTTTTGGCCTTCAACTCCCAGAAATCCTAACAGCTGGTAAACTGGCTGGGATTTCTGGGAGTTGTAGGCCAAAAACATCTGGGGACCCCAGGTTGAGAACCACTGCATTTAAGGAAAGATGGAATATAACATTTAAATCCAAGAGCAAATGTCTCTTCATGAAAGAGACCAGGAGAGCAAATTTGATCAAGGAGATAATGGAGTCTATAAACAGAGCATAACACTATGTAATATGATTTTTGTTCCTGGGTTATAAATGCCATTTCCTAATTGTTTCTATTATAAAACATGGGCAAAGGTCGCAACGACCAGCCCAACATGACTTACTCTATATACCGGGTCCTAGAGAAGTGCACTTGGAAAGGACCAGACGCAGGGCTTTTTCTATTTCTGCCCCGGCCTTATGGAATTCCTTGCCGCTCTACATGAGAGCCATGCGTGACTTAGGACCTTTTACTCTAGCACTTAAGACCTGGCTTTTTACTAGAGCATTCGATCTCTGTAATTTTTAATTTCTGTATGTATGTATTTTATCTTTTACAATTTAGCTGTAAATCGCCTAGAGCATTCCCGGATGGAGGGCGATTAATAAGTAATTAAATATGATGTGATATGATATGATAGTTTATTAAACTGAAAAAACTGGGTCTTTGTGGGACATCCTGCAGCACATTTTGCTATAGTTTTTCAGCCATATCTCATAAGAGTCTCAACCAATTCAACCTAGTTTGTGGCAGCCACAACAACAAAGTTTCTGGAGTATAACAACTACTTTCAAACTAAGTCCCACACAATTAAAGAGGAAATAACACTTTCAAACCAGGAACTGACAATTTTCCAAATTTTGTTGCATAGTGTCATTTATGTTAATTATGTTATTCAGTTACTTAAGGTGGAGAATGTTTTCTACAGTCAGCTGCTAAAATATCTGAAAATGACTGTTTAACCAAATGGCCTAAAGTCATGGGTTACTTCTTGTTTTCAGTTTGCAAGAATTCTTAACCAGGAAGTAGTGGAGAAAAATAGTGAGGCAAAAAAGAAAATGTAAAGGTTGGCTCCACCCCTTCCATGTCCAAATTGACAGATTTTTAAATGGAAAGTAGGATGACAGTGTAATTGTATGTTCTTTGCTTGCAAAAAAAATTGCAGGATGTAGTCAGTGCTTTCAAGACACTAAAATAATAATTTTCTCTCTTTTAAAATATAAAATCTGTGGGCACACAGAACTATTGGAACTGTAATTGAACTCACACAGGTCACTTCTGAGGCAGAAAACAGAAAAGAGAGATAGTAGTTTTATATCAACAAAGATGGAATCTTGGCTTTTTTGTCCAGTATAAAGGTTTTCTCTCCTAGATGTTTACATGGTATATTCTTCAAATCGTGCAAAATAAAAGTTAATCTGTGTTAGTCTTGAAAGCAAAACCAGCTCCGTTTCGAAAGAGATTGGAATTTTAGCACATCTGTATATGTTCTTTCTTAGGGACTTAGTGACAGATGGCAAATCTATTGTTGAAATATATGTGCTACAGTACTACTTTATACAACATCTCATGCAGTCAACAAAAACAATGTTAATTAAACATCCAAGTAGAGATTGTATTTTACCATTAAGTATCGTTTTTCATCTGCATGTGCCTGCTGGCTTTTATTTTTAAAAATCCATGTTCTTTTATTTATCTGATAGTTTCTTGATTTATTTTTTTTCTTTTTGGGAGTATCTAATCTGCCTTATTAGAAGCTTTCCCAAAAAGTGAGGTGCACACATATCAAATAACTTACTCTGCATCTGCTTAATCCTGGTTGTGAAGTCTTGCAATACTTTTGAAAGGATTATATTATATTATTTATTTATTGCCATTTATATCTCACCCTTCTCAACCCTGAAGAGGAATCAGAGCAGCACACATGGAGGCATAATTCAATGCCATACATTACATACAATACATATCCAGCAAATATAAACATATACATTAAAACACTTGGTAAAAACATAAACATTAAAATCATATACATTGCAATTATAAAATTACTTAATCCAATATCATTTATTGTTGCACCATTCTTTTCATTCATACAAGGGTTGAATGAAAAGTAATGCCTCCACCTTCGTAACTCCTCAACAGATAGCAGTACTGGTATGCGCAGGTACTGGCTTGTTCAGTAGACTCTCCTCAACAATTCTATTTTGGCTGGAAGCCTTAGCATTGAATGGTTGTGTTGATAAAGTGCGAAATATAGAACCCTGCGCAGACGGTCGGTCAATGTGACTTAAGCAACGTGCAGTCATTGAATTCTTGACAGCAGAAGGTGTTGCTCCGAAGGAGATTCATCAGAGAATGCAAGTCGTTTATGGTGATTGTGTTGATGTGAGTACTGTGCATCGTTGGGTAAGTTTAAAGATGGTGAAGTGGGAACATCTGACTTGCGTGACAAACAGAGTTGGACGTCTTGTGACAGCAACCTCCGAGTTTCACAAATAAAAGGTTGACAGATGGATTCAGGACGATCGTCGTATCACTCAGAGAGAAATTTCAAGCATAATCAGCATTTCACAAGAACGTGTGGGTCACATTATTGCTTTGCTTGGCTATCGGAAGATCTGTGCATGATGGGTTGTGGAAACAGTGTTGTCTTCTTCTGTGACAGCTTCAGAAAACTTGTTTATTGTTGGCAGAAATCTATCCAATTGTCTGGTCATTATGTGGAAAAGTGAATAGTGGTAGTTAAAGAGCACATTCTAAGGATTATTTCTGCGTTTGATTTATTAAAATATTCCCTTCCAAACCCAAATAATGAAGGTGGAGGCATTACTTTTCATTCAACCCTCGTATGTTGCACTAATCAATTATCCAAACACTGGGTCCCACATCCAAGTTTTCTGCTTTTACCTAAAGGTCAGGAAGAAGGGGGCTAAGCTGATGTCACTGGGGGGGGGGGAGTTAATAATAATAATATTTATTTATTTGATCAGTCATATGACCATTTCAAAATAAAACACGAGTAAAAAACAAGGCAACAAGGGGGAGGGGAGTTCCACAGCCGAGAGGCCACCTCTGAGAAGGCCCTGTCTCTTGTCCCCACCAACCGCACCTGTGAAGAAGGTGGTACCGAGAGCAAGGCCTCCCCAGAAGATCTTAATCTCCGAGAAGGTTCATAGCGGGAGATGCATTCGGATACACTTTCTCTTCACCCTTTATAATTGTCCATTACAGAAAAGAGCTGTTTTCTTTTAAATGGTTATGTATAACTATTTTGTTCAAATAATATGTTAGTATTGGAGATAATTACCAAAAAAAAAACAAAAAACAAAAAAGAAACCCAGAAACCAAATCTGCTTACATGTTTCAGGATATTTTCTAGCACTTAACTATCCTGAAATTCTTATTTTAAAATAAAGTTCTAGACTGCTATGCATTAATTACAGTACAACTTCAGCAGTAAGTCTGACATGCTCCTTCCCCAGCAGGATTTAATTACATTTCCTGAGAGGTTACTTCCTGAATGGAGTTGTTTGATCAAATGGTTTGATTAGACATGTAGCCATGAATAATTGAAATTTATATGCTCCTTTCCCCCTAATTTTGAATTTTTTCAACACTGTCTTTCCAAAAGAGAAAGTCTTCATAGTTGCATTGTTTCTGAGTCCTTTGAACATGCATAAACCTTTCTTAAAAACAAGATTTCTCAGAGAGCCCAACCAGTATTCCTCTTATGGGTATGAGTGAAGGGCGATATACTATCCTTTCCAGCGCACATTCTTACTCATGCTCAGACTGGATTGGAGAAAGGACCAAAATGGTGACCTGAGAACAGCCTGTATTATTAGAAGATCTCATTTTTCCATCATGACAGTACTATGCAAACTCATGAAAGTTTAAAAGAAACATGGTTGAGTTGTAGCAATGTGAAGAACAGTAAATATTTGGTACCACGTGAAATGTTTTAGTGCCCAAATGTGTCATTATAGAGCCTTCTGAAAGGAAAAATTATATATCAAGCCATATAGTTATAAAATGTGGGTTGAAAAGAGCACTTCATATTATATACTATAATCAGTTTAGAGGAAGAAGGAACTATTGTGACTCATGGAGACTGATAAACATTAAGTGCTCAATTTTGCCTCAAGAAGTACCATATTTGACAGCGAAACCATTGTACAGTGAGTAGAACTGGTGATTACGACTACAAGATTGGCACGAGGAAGTAAGCAAGCCTTTTTCACCTGCCCTTCTGGATATAGGCCCCAGTCTTCCCTTTCCAGCAACAAATGATTAAACATAGCATCCTTAGAATTCTTGCCCTTCTTGTTAGGGAAGGGTTGTGCCACTCTGGAGAGACAAGGATGATAAGACATTGCTCTTATTTATT